ACTGGATCATTTTTTTCTGATGAGAAACCTGTGCCAATATCTGAGGACAAAGGATGAGCTAAAATAAATTTCTGGAGGTAAGCAATTTCTTTCTCTGTTTCAGAGAGCGATTCTGCATTCTCTGCAGATGGGCCGTTAGGATACTTTAGGATTATTGCATGATAATGCTTTTGATTATTGAGCAAGGCTTGGGTTGGGAAGTCTAGAATCTCCTGCCTATTGTTTTGTATTCAGTCAGGATCTTCTGTCATCTTGAGGACAGTAATTTCACACTAATAATTCATTATTCACTGAATTATCCCCCCTAGACATATAACTATTCCCTGTATTATAAAAAAATTAACTTTTGTTATGTTTGCAAAAAAGGGGATGGTTTGCCACAAAACTGCATAAAGACAAAGTAAACACCATCCAACCAATGAATAATGCCATAGGAGGAAAAATATTTATTAAAAATATTCTAGAGTAAACCAAGTGTGGTGATGCAGGCCTGTAATCCCAACTCTCTGGAGGCTGAGGAAGGATGATGTATGTGTTCCAGGTCAGCCTGAGCTACACAGTGAGACCCCCCCCACTTCAAAAAAATCTCCTACCGTATACAGAGTAACTAATTTAACTCTGCTGCTTGACCTTAGAGTTTAAGACAAATTTCTTGCTGTCCCTCTGTAATAAAAACAAAGTTTATCAATTTGATTGACTCGTTAGGTGGACTATGAAAGGAACTTGTCACTTTGTCTGTCTAGAGTTGTTTCAAAACACGAAACACTGTCTTTAATAGTTGTCCTGTAAAACTTGTTTCTTCAGTCAACCTTTTCTTCCTGTCAAATGAAACTAAGGCTGTGGTAGTCATCAAGCTATCGTTGGAATACTGTCAGGACTCTATGGTGGAGAATTTTTTAAATTCATGGCTAGTATTTCAGCCAGTGCTTCTCCAGCTTTGATGTGAACTCCATACCACCTGGTAATCTCGTTACAATAAGGATTCTGACTCAGTGGGTTTGGACTGGATCCTGGAAATGTACATTTCTGCAGGCTCCTAGATGATGCCAAACTTCTGGTCCATGGCCACACTTTGAGAAGCAGATACCTTTCAGACCTCAAATGTCTAGAAGGAGCTTTTGACAGAATCTGAGGACAGATCATTTGAAACTGAAATTGCTAAATATACTTTAGGTTCAGACATCATTATTTTTTCTGAAAGGTTTTAGAGTGAAATGTAATTACTGCAAAGCTGATATGTTTATGTGGAGATTGGAGATGTAAATAATGAAAGAGTTGCTTTATATACATGCCTGTTTTTCAAGTGACTGAGGTTAAAGGGAGGGGCAGGAAGATGGGTGGAACTGTGTGTTGTGTACAAACAAGGTATGAAACCCTAAAGGGAGTTTCCCTAAACTGTCAGCAATCTGAAAAGCTATAAGGAGCCAACTACCTTCCTGTAAATTTCTTTCAGTGCTATTGTTTCTGCTGGCAGCTGTATCTGTCTCCGTTTCCTTTCACCTTCCCTTTTGGGTGGCATAATCAGTTGTTATCCTTCAAAGCTCCAGAATATTTCCACAAAACCTCAACTTGTGCATAAGCCTCAGCTCTACCTCCGGACCTGCCATCAGCATCAGCTGTGGTTGCTGACAGCTTCATTTCTCTTAGAACATGCATTTCAAATTGTTGAGAAGAGGAATTTGATCAGCATAAGATCCCTAGCACACCAGTACACCAAGGACTTGGCTGCTATTATCTAAGAATCCAATCAATGATAATGGGGGAAAGGCCAATGGTATTTGATTCCCAGGCAAAGAAATATAGCTAGTAAAGATTGCTATTTCATGGGGGCTGTGTACCAGGACCAAGTCTGTGGTAAGGCAAGCATCTTGTGGCTTGGTCCATTTTATTCATTTCCTTAATGAAGGTCATCTATGCATGAAAGTGGTTTAGTCATAGCATTCAGGCAGGGCCAAGAAACATGCCATTCATTTTATTGCTCTTTCATCTCTTCATACTCAGAGGCCAGCCTAATAAGACTATTTCAGAGGGTCAGAGAAGGGAATCAGTTAAACTAATGAAACTGTTTAAACTAAACTACTACAGACTTGATTTGCATTTGAGGTACTTTTATTTTAATTCAATATAGAAAAAATAGTTGAAGGAAACTAATCAAATCAAAATACCAACATAATATAGGCTTTCAGTGTTATAAATACAGGCTTGTTTTAGTAAAGATCGATGGACCTCTCTGCCACCTCCAGTTGCTTTCCCACCACTGAATGCTGTGTCCTCATTCCCAAGGCATCAGAGTGTTTCCAAAGCCGGGGAGCATCTTCTGAGAGGGCGTGAAAGTGCTCATTCACCTTCCTGTGTGCTTGAAACAGGAAATGGAGAAATGTTTGAGAAAGCTGACAAATGAGAGCACGAAACCAGGCCTTCTCCAAGTCTCATCCCTGTTTTTTTCTCTCTGTACTGTTTGCTCATTGGCAGGGGAGGAGGAGGGTGGCACATTATGTCTCTGTGTTCCCCCACACATAAACTTTTAAGGAGAACTATTTTCAGTTTTTATTTGCTAATCAGTAAACATGAGGGTAGGCCTTGTCTGTTCCTAGAGATAAAGAACTGCATGCATAACTGCTCTCTATCCAGCTGAACAAGCACCAGAGTTCTCTTTGTTTTTCATAGTGTTTCTGTGAGATAAGAAGAAACCACCCAGACAGGATACATGACCAGGCAAGGTTTTGAAATAATATTTTATAAACTCATTCCTTATTCTGAACCATGGGATGGAAAGAAAGGGGAGGGCACCATACACAGAACAAGCGGATTTTTTTCTGGTTTTGAAAAAACAGGCAAACACACATATGAACAGAGAGAGCATTTAGATAAATGTTCAACTGAGGAAAGAATAAGTCAATTTTTAATTATGAATATGAAAATGAGAAAGGTAAAATTTTAATAATTTAGTAATTCAAGTGAGTGTATACCTGAAAATTTAATGGCCACTTTCTGCCACAAAACTTGCCTGCCATATGGACTCCGAATCAATGTAGCACTGATAGGACTTGCATACAGCCAAAGATCGAGCTATATTCCCAGGAAAATAGAGGATGGATCGAACCGGGATAGAATTGCCCTTCAAGGACCTTAGCATATTTCTGAAAGAGATCCAAGATGGAGGGACTGATTCGAGGTTGATGATGCAAGACTTTAAGCAGAGTAAGTTTCAATATAAGATCAGATGGCTCCATTAAAGCACAGATAGTGTTTTCAATAACAAATGAATTTGGAGGGGCTGCAAATTGCATAAGCTTAAAATAAGAAATCATTTAGGAAAGCTCTGCTATCAGGCTAAGGAAAGATCCAAGGCTGACTGGACATGACAGTGAGGATATATAGAAAGATGGCTCTTCAGTGCTAGGAAGGAAGAGTAAACTCAAGGGACAACTACAGTGAACTAATGAAAGGAAATTTGAAATAGGGTCTCATTATGTAGCTCAGGGAATATAGAACTTCTGAAATCCCCCTGCCTCAGCATCCCAAGTGTTGGGGTTGCATGTGTGTGCCACACGCAGTAACAGTTTCTTCTTTAAGTAATTATTTTTATAAATTAAGTCCTAGGTTTGAGGAACTTAAAACCCAGGACTGTATTTTGTTCTTTTAATATTGGGTAAATCAGAGAAGTAGGTTATGACTTATAACTTTAAGTGCCTTATTTCAAGAAGAATCAGCAAATCTGATGTGAGATACAGGTAAGGAAATGGGATGTGTGTCTTAGGAGAAATGCCAAAATCCAGTGAATGTTTTCTCCATCTCAGATTCATTCAGTCAAATTGGAATGCAGGTAACGTTTTCCTGGGTTAATCTGACCAGTACTTTGCTATACAAAGTTGCTTTTGGGGAAGCTTGGCTTTGTAAGAGCAGAGGTCTTATCTATCGTGTTTACTGCCATAATGCCAGCATGCACAGTAGCCTTGCCTGGAGTAGAGTAGGTGCTTATGGAATGATCATGAAAGGAGTGGAAAGAGGGGGAGACAGAATCAAGAACATAAGGAAGGGAAAGAGGGTTTTGTTTATCAAATTACTTCACTTACTTGGCTGTTAGCAAGGACTCCCCTCAGAACCTTCACTTCTGTGTTAGGCAACAGAGATCTAAAAAAATCTATCAAGGAACTGATAGTCTAGTGAGAAAGAGAATGAACACAGTAGGTAGCAAGTGCTTCACAATAACAGAAAGCCTGATGATAGAGGGAAGAGGCCAGAGGAAGCATCCAGTCTGACCCTGAGGGTGGAGAACAGAACACAGTGCAAACCTAAGCAGAGCCTTCATAAACTCCCTGATGCTTTGATGGCTTGAGAATATGGTAGTCTTCTTTCACAGTCCTAAAACAAGCGTGTGGACAGATGAAACGAAATGTGGATGACTTCAAGTCCTAACATTTTAGCCTATCTCTATTCAGAGTCATTTTGATGTTTAGGTTATTTTGCCTTGTCATAACTAGACTTTGCTTTCCTTCAAGGAAGGCGAATGGCTGCAGTGAATTTGTCATGCAGTAGCTTGTCAAAGAATCATGGCTTTATAAGCATAGTCAAAGTGACTCAAGTCAAAGGCCTGGTTTCTGTGCCAGACCCACAACACATAATATATCAGGAGTAGCAGCTTTATTAAGCATGATCTATTAGCATCACTATTTGTTCTTTCCTGAGCAAATTATTCTTGTGACAAGGATTAATGATCACCTATATGGTGATCTTTGCATTTTATAACAGCATACATCAGTAAAGGTGTGTGTTTTCCATCTAGTCAGAAAATATTCTAAAGAAGGTATATAAAACTTGAATGCAAAAGAGAGAACCAGTAACAAAAAACAAAGACATTTTAGTTGGCTGACCTTATTTACATATAGGAAAGGATGTTAGATGCATTTGGATGGCCTTTTAAAGCATGAAATCTAAAGTCTGAGGGTAAGGAGACAAGGATCCTGCTTTGACTTCTGCTTCTTGATTTCTTTACTCAGGTACTGACTCCAGCACAGATTAAATCAATCTGCCAGGCGATTCTGGACTCTGGGAAGCAGTATGCTATGAAGAAGAGAAAACCATTCCCCCTAATGTACTCTTACTATGGAACTGAGTATTTGGGTGAGTGACACAGACCTGTAGACTAGAGGGGGTCTTTGATGACAACATTGGGTAAAGAATGCATGCTTTCATTTTTGCTTCAGGCCAAACTATTCATTAACAGGAACTACTGTAAAGTAAAAATTTAGAAACATTATGAATCACAATTTGATATATCTTTTCATAGCTGGATGACAGAAATGTAACTATTTTAGCAATAACTTTCACTCAAGGCTAAAATCCTTATCATTGGCCTATTAATTTATTTAGATAAAGGGCTTACTGCATTCCCTAGGCTGCCCTTGAACTACTGAACTCAAGCAATTATCTTGTACCAACTACCTGATTAGCTGGGACTATGGACATGTATCCCAATGTTTGACATAGCTTTGTTGAAAGATTGTGAACAGTTTTCACACTGACTGCAAGTAATGTCTTTATATAAGAGAATAAGATTTATCCATTGAAAGATTTTTTAATTTTTTAGTAATAGATACATGATAGGCAACTGAACGGTGGTGACTAATTTTGAGCTCTGATCCGTGTAAGGAGCAAATTACTTCCTCTTATTTTTGTCCCTTACACTCCTGAGAATGATTTGTAAGACTTGCAGACTATTCACCTGTTTCTCCAAGCTCAAATTGTACCCCCCCCAATCAGGTTCTGTGCAATGTAGTCGTTCACACATAGAATAACCTCTTATCTTTCAAACTTTATGTGTGTTCCTTTTACCTAGATTATCTCACTTCCCACAAGCCCTTCATCTACCTGTAATGGCCAGACTTCAAAACTCTGTACAAAGGTTATGAGATATAGTGCGATATTTTCTGTACTTTAAGGAAAATAGCTGTTGAACATGCTCTTGAGAGAAACATTTACATACGTTGGGTATTTTCTCCTTAAGCAAGTTGCCTAACATCATGACACCTGGCCCACACTGTTAATGGAATCCTTACTATATCATATTATAATTTGTGGCCCACTTGTCCAACTGCCCCAACAGGTTTTGTGAATGTTCAGGTTGTGCATTCATCCAGTTAGCATTGTGATTCTTGGACCGTTGCCACAGAGCCAGCACTTAATGAGGGTACCCAAATGAATGAAAGGATGAATGAATGGCTAATGAGTCACATTAATGAGAGTTTTCTCAAAGAAGTTTTACGTTCCTGTCTGACTTTCAGTAGAATCATACCCTAAATTAGGGTTTGAGTATAAAAAGTTTATTTGAAATGTGATCACAAAAAGCATTAATAGAAGAGTGAAGAAATGAGATAGGGACCAGAAAGATGTTAACTGAGTAGGTAATAGTGAGAAATTAGAGACAACATAGGCTCTGTATTAGTCAGACTTTTGCATTACTGTACCTAAATGCCTGGCATAAACAACTTAAGGAAGGAATGGCTTTTGTTGTTTGTTTTGTTTTTTGTTTTTGTTTTTGGCTTGTAGTTTCAAAAGACTCAGTCTGTGTTACTTTGCTGCATTTATTCTGGTCCGAATGAAGGAAGAACATCATGGCAACCAAAGCATATGGCACAGGTTACTCATCTCATAGTTAATAAGAAGCCAGAAAGAGAGAAGGGCCTGGGGACCATATGTAACTATCAAAGACACACGCCAAGTGACCTGCTTGCTCCAACTAGGCCCCAGCTCCTGTATTCACAACCTCCCTAAATAGTATCACTAGCTGGAGAACAAGCATTCATTGTACAAACCTATGGGGGTTATCTCGTATTCAAGCCATAACAGGCTAAGTTCCACTGGGGACTCTGGGATACTACATGAACCATGCCTCAGAATCGCCTTACCCAAAGATGGAGGAAATTCAGGTACTTATCTTCCCACTCCTTGTCTTATTGATTGCTGCTCTGGAGATCTTTATTCCTCAGTAATTCTGTCCTGTCCTTATGTGCTGAGCATATTCCTGTGGCTAGAGATGAACTCAGGCACATTATAGATATATAAGGTGGGAAGTGTGCAGCATAAGTGCACCAGAGCAGTAAGGGTGCCAGGGCACTAACCGTGTTTTCTCTCATCCTTTCATTAATGATCGTTTTTTGTAGAAATTGATATTCTGGCCATTGACATATGTAGTACAAACCAAGTTTCTAGCAAATATGTACTTTGTTGAAAATCAAGGTTCCTTCTAAAAATTATATATAAATTTATGATAGCATTTAATATATAGATAAGAATTGTGCACCTTATAGTACATTTTATATGTCATGCCACATTAATATTGCATAAATATTTATTTGCATAAATAATATAGTGACAATAAAGGAATTGGCTCAAAGGATTATGATACTGAAAAAGCCAGACTTAGGACTAAGTCAATGCTTTAAGTTCCAGTCTGAGTGAAAGCTCACAGAATTCTTTTGTAGCTTTTTCATTCCATTCCAGCCTTCAGTGAATTGGATAAGGCCCACCTACATTGGAGAGGGCAACCTTTTTTAGTCAGTATACAGGTTCAAGTGTTACTGTCATTGAGAAGCACTCACAAAGACATAGCTAGAAATAATGTTTAAGAAAATATCTGGGCAACATATTGCCCAGTTAAGTTGCCACCCTGGTACACACGTATCATATAGTACTTCACTGCTTATGTTTGAATTATTTTCAAATAGAATCACCCTTTCCAAACTAAATCGGGAAGTTTTCAAGAGTATGGGAAAACTCATACTCATCTTGGTATTCCCAGGGCAAGATAATGTCCAACACACAAGTGTCAATTCTGAAGAATTGATGCCAAGTATTAATGTTTACAGAATAAGGGTTTATTTATTTATTTGTTTGTTTATTTATTGGTCCTTTTTGAGGCAGGATCTCCTTGTAGCCCCAGCTAGCCTGGAACTCCCTATGTAAATTGGGCTGGCCTTAAACTCACAGAGATCTGCCTGCCTCTGCCTCCCAAGTGCTGGGAGTAAAGATGTGTGCCACCACACCCGGCAGGTTTATTTTTTTTTACTCACTGCTCTAACCTTAGCACCTCCATCAGTATCTGATGCACAGTAAATGCTTAATCCTTCTATGGATGGATAAAATATTGATACCTACTCAAGCACTTTGGAAACATTTTTGTAAGAGCAATTGATAAGTTAATTTCAAAGCTTTCAGAGCATTTCTTCTCTAAATAGGTGTTAATAAAATCTTCCATAGAAAGTTTAACAATTGTAATTATGATTTGTGGGCCAGATAGTCTCAGTCAGAAATACAAGTCTGATGTTAAACATGAAAGTAGCAGTAAGCAATATGCAAATGAATCAGTGTGGCTGTGGTCCAATAAAACTTTATTTACAAAAATAGACAATGGGCCAGATTTGGCTTGCAAACTAGTTTGCTGGCAGTGTAGTTCTTCATCAACTCAATTGGTACAGTATTATATATGTTTCAAATAGTATTTTTATTTTTTTAATCTTGTGATTATCTTTTCACTAGTATCTTTTCATACTGTCTCTCCTCTCTCTCGGTGAATAAATTACACCTTGTTTGTCTACATAGGGGCAGCTCACGGCCTGTCATCCATTCTTCAGATGCTCCTTTCTTACCATGAGCACCTTAAGCCCTCGGATCAAGAGCTGGTGTGGCAGAGCGTGGACTTCCTCATGGAACAGGAACAGAATAGCAACTGGCCTCCTGAGCTGGGCGAGACGATTGAAAGAGAAAATGAATTGGTCCACTGGTGCCATGGAGCTCCAGGTCTCTCACATCCCATTGTTTGAAAAGGGGGACCTTTAATCTAGCTGAGATAAAGGGCGTTTATGTTCTCTGATCTGAGGGTATTTCTAATCCTGGGTCATAACTATGAGGGATAAAAAAAATCAAGAAAGTATGAATACAGAAAGAGAGTAACCACGATAATTATTTGTGGATAATATATGTGTACATTTAGAAAACCTAATGGCATCTAACAGAAAGCTGGTAAAACAATAATGGCATTAGAAAGTTACATGATATGGGGCTGACAAAGAATAGACATCATTGTATCTTACCAGTTTTCTCTGCCTCCAACATTTAACTATAGAAGAAACTTCAAATTACGTGCTTCTAAAAGTACCAGGATGTTGTACAGTATGTCCAGGCTAACTGCTGCCAGGTATAATTTGTGCCAATTATTTCTTGCTTTGATCTTTTAAGGAAAAACACAGCAGTTATTTACCATCCTGGAATTTATATTTCTTGTTATGCTCAATACTACCATTTCCCATTCCCTTTAATCATTCTCAGTGATGGTCTCTGGATCTTCTCCAAGCACACCAGGATCCTTGCATTTTGGAGATGTCCCAAATTACATATAGAATATTTTAAAAGGACTCAATGTGCTAGTAAAATCCCTTAATAGAGTGAAAAGATAATCTCCTAAAATGAGTGAATGAGCCTGTTATTTGAGGTAGGTGCCTTGAAGAACAGTTACCCTACCTTTTCTGTATACCAAATGCCATCTGTCTCAGCACTGTGACAGTGTAGATTCATGACATTGGGGAATCCCTTCTCGCTTATCCTTCATATTAAGTGTTTTGAGAAAATTAACCATAGGTGGCTTCAAATCATAATCATTCAGTCTATGTACTCGATGGACTGTCAAAAAGAAACCAACTCACAAATGAAATGGGCTCCATTATTACTGCTCACTCCGACCCTCATCAAGGCATATTATTCTTCCTTTTAAGAGATTCTCTAAAAACAGCATCAAGAGTGGTTATAAAATTGATAATTGCAGGTCAAAGACAGTCAAGACCTCACTGAAGTTAGTAATAATAAATTCCCTTAAAATCTAACATAGGAAATGACCTGCAAAAATAGTTTCATTTGTTTGAAAAAAAATCACATTTTGAGAGTAGATTTATGAACAGCACAGATGGTTTGGGATGACAGACCAATCTTGTATTTAAAAACCTGCCAGTGATAATCCGAAATGTGGACCTTCATTACTGCCTCCTTATTTCTGTCTCTGTTTCCTATTGACTTTCCTTGAGCCTGCCTCTACAGGTGACTGCCTTAGTTATTATGTATGCAATGTAGAAATGTTTCTTGACGCTAGGCTAATAATTCTGGGCTCTAATTGTAGCTCTAGCACTAACCAGCTAAGCGACCTTGAGGAAAGTCACTCTTTTTATCTATGAAATGAACATGTTGATGGAGAGTACTGGATCTCAATATTTTTATCACCATTGACAAATTTTTTACACCTGGACCCCTGACATTCCTATGGGATGTATCTCAGATACTTTTATAAACACCTACATTTATTAATACCTACTGTGGCATAAAGCTTTTTCTCACTAAATAAAGTATTGCAGGAAGACTCATGTGATCCCTTCATAACCTTGATAACTCTGAAATACATGATGGAAGTTATTTGCAAAGTCATTAAAACAAATGCTGTGCTTAAAATAACTTCCCTGCATGTGTCTGGTTACATCACTACTGTGGTAATACTCACGTTGCATTTCCTATACTCTGTGTAAAACACAGGTGTGAGCATTTTAAAAATTCATTTTACAAAGACTCTTGGGTAGGTGACTTTGAATAAAGAACAAAGCTTTAGAAGCACAGGTTGATAACTAAGATTTGAAATGTCTCAGCAAAATGAGACCTCTCAGAATGGACCTGGGTGATGATGTTCCAGTATGTTGACACTACATGTTCTAAGACTAGTTATCGTAAGTCTCTGGAGATCCCACGTTTCAAAGATTTTGTCCCTTTATGAAATAATTTCATTTCCCAGTTTTATTTGGCAAAGTCATACATTGTTACTTGTGTTTCATATCATTGAATACTAATTGAAAATACTAATACATATAATTGAATATTGATACCCAGGAAAAAATGATAATAGTTCCCATTAAAATAAAAGAAGCTTGACATTCCTTCCTTTTAGATTCAGTAGCCCTATGATGATTTCCATTAGGTCAGCTAATACATTTTGATATCTTTCAAGGTCCCTACACATACCATTCTGTGCTCCAGGCCTCAGGAAATAACCTTCTACTCTGGCCAGAACCATAGGATCAATAGCTTTTAAGCTGTCTGGGGTTAATGGCTTGATACAGCAATTAAAGCATCTCAGGCCTTCTTCCTTCCACATCTCTCATCTCTGTCCCCAGCGCCAACTTCTTCTGGGGTGATAAATGAAGTATTTTAGGGTCAGCAGACATGTTTTGTGGCCAAACACTACTCATAGAAAAAGAAAAAAAAATAAGGAATAAAATATAGTTTTTGCCCTTGGGTGGTTTTCGTTATACTAGGGGGATCAGAAATGGAAATGATAGTTTTAATTTGATTTTGTTAAAGTTTTTAGTTTTCTATATGGTGTGATGGGATCCAAGAATAGGAATTCCCTAGTTTGCCTGCAGGTTGAGTTAAAGCTTCCTATAGAGCAGGTGATTCCTGAGGTAAGTTGTGGGAAGAGAAATAGAAAGTATCTACCAAGAATAGCATGGCCACTCAGAAGCATGGATGCACTCAGGTACTTTGGATTTACTGAAATGAAAAGTTAGGGTCAGGGAATGAAGAAGAGGTGAGAAAGCAGAGCAAGAGGTGGGTCACAAAGTGCTTTCTGTACCGTGGTAAGACACCTAGATAATAGTGAGCCATTTAGCTTTTCCTTGGCTGGAGCCCCTCCCTCCCTCCTTAACACACTCTTTCCTAAGGGTCTAGAAGCAGTGCTTACTCTCAGGAGAAACCTACTAGCTCACAGAGTTCTAGGACAGGGAAAATGAGAAAAGCCAAAGAGGAGCGTGGCTTTCACTCTGATTTGGAGGGTTGCTAATAGGTGCAGATTACACCAAAAAAACTGGTTCCAAGGCTGGAGAGATGGCTTAGCGGTTGAGAGCACTGACTACTCTTGGAGAGGACCTGGGTTTGATTCCCAGCACCCACATAACATCTAACAATAGACCATCCATAACTGCAGTTCCAGGGGATCTGATATCATCTTCTTACCTCCACGGGCATTGCATGTCACGGGTGTACTTACATACATACAGGCAGTACACTCATACATAAAATAAAAAATATTTATAAAACTGGCTCTATCTTGAGGCTAGGGAGAAGACCTTTTGTACCACTCTACGGAAGAAATATTTTGAGGACTGAGTACATAATACTGTTTTCCATTTGCCAGTGGGAAAGCCCAGAGGGTTGTTAGCAGCCAGCTGTCACAGGAACTCTGATGGTGTACTGCTGGTAAGCTAAAAAGGAGCTGGGCCTGGCACCTAGTTGATTCTGCCTCATCCTCCAGTATTCAATTCAATGGTGACACTCTTGCTAGTAGGCATTTTGTACTGCCAGCTTTGGGGCAGGGACTCTTCTATGCATTCTTGTAATGCTTATTTCTCCACACATAGCCTAATTAATACCCGCATTTAAGCTCTAAACGCTATTAAAGATAGCAGTCTTTTCAAACCTGTGCCTGCCATATATAGTTCATGTTCAATTAATGTCTAAACATCCACCAAGTTCCATGAAATTGCTCCCGTACTAGCTTCGTTTCCATCTTTCTGACAATGGAACCCAGTCAGAGTTCTCCCGCCCTTAGGTTTCTTCTTACAGCACTGTAGGACACCTTGTCTATAGCAACAATCACATTGTTCCACAAAAATAAAAACCAACCATTGCTCCAGGCGTGGTGGTGCATGCCTTTAATCCCAGCAGAGGCAGGTGGATCTGAGGCCAGCCTGGTCTACATAGTGAGTTCCAGGACAGCTGGGGCTACAGGGAGACCCTGTCTCAAAAAGACCAAAAAAAAAAAAAAAAAAAAAAACAAAAAAAAACCCAAAACCAAACAAACAAACAAACAAAACAAAACAAAAATAACCATTGCATTAAAAAAAACTTCAAGTGGTTCTATATTGGCAACAGTATGAAGTCCAAAAGGCCTAACTGAACTTATAAAACCATCTGTAATGTATACACAATCTTTTTTTCTACCTTACTGGCCTGTTGATTAGGATGCTGCCACACTGACCTTCTTATGGTTTGATTTTCCTTGGCTATGAGCCTCTTAGCCTCTGTGATATTGATACCTAGTATGCTTTCCCTGTCTCATTTTGGGACTGCAGTTTCCAATGCAGCCAACAAAGCCCAGAAAACACCTATTCTCATTCAAGGCCTCCAGTGACTATCTCCTTCAGGAGAATTCACCTATCTGATCCCTCTAGGTTCACTGACAGTATCATTTATCCTATGTCCCAGGAACACTGTGGACACATGTGTTATTTTATATTAGTCACAGTGCCTACATGAAGGGCATAAGTTACCTTTAGCATTTATTTTGGATCCCTTGGTATCAGGACTATGCAGTTTGGGAGACCTAGTCCAAATTAAATATACAATTACATATCTAGAAAAACTATTAAGGTTGTCAAGATAGAAGCAGCAGTTCATTAAACGCAGTGTGGGACCCTTTGAGGGGCATAGATGCCTTGCCCTTGAAACTCATCTTGTACTATGGCCATGCATGCATTAGGTAATAATTGACTACTTTCAAATGAATGGGCACAGTAAATAAATGAGTGCATAATTAAATTAGCTGATTTTTTTTAAAAATCATCTTTTCTTTTTAAAGTTTCTTTTTTTCTCTAAAACTGAAGGTAGATTCCCCTAGATTACAGTGGCTGACTGTAAAGCATTTGCTGAGGGAAGAGCTCATTGCCACGTAAGTGTTGATTGCAGGGAGTGTTAAAGAGTACATTTTCCAAGGATGAAAACATGCCTCTAATACAAATACAAAATTAAAATTAACTCCTCTCAACCATTTTATTTAGCTCATTAATTACTGAACCAAAAAGTTACAGCTGTTTCAAAAGAAAATTTGAAGAGTTGACATATTCATAGGGCATTAAGAATACAGAGATGGATTGCTGCTTAGATGTAAGATGAATTTCTCCTACATACGTCAAGGCAGGTGAATTCATGTTCTCCACGATTGCATGTAAACAATATCTATTACTATGGGTTTTCTTCTAAGAAATATCTGTCTCTATCAAGTTAAGAAATACTTTGGTCAAAGCAATGAGAGGCAGCGAGAATCTTGGTGGGTGAGCTAGTCAAGACACCTACTTCAAGCCCATCATTCTCACTGTTTAATGTAATTTAGGATGCTGCTGGGCATGAAACCCAGTATCTCACACTTGATAGGCAAGCATTATATAACTAAGATAGCTTCTTAGACCTGTTTTGCTATATAGCTAGGAGGAAAGTCAGTATTCAGGGAGAAAAGTGGTCTTATATAACTAATGTTTCTGAATATGGTCATCCAGATCTTGCAACTTGGGGAAAATAACTGTTAATAGCTGTTGTTTCTCTTGTTTCTGCTCTTTTGTAATGGACGCCACCTTTGTTGCAAGTTTCAAAGATACATTTCTTTCCCTGGAACACTGAAGATGGGAAGGACTTGACTTCAAAGTTGGAGTTGAAATCTTGTTGAGGTTGTTGGGGAGTACTGTTATTCTTGGAAAGACTCCTGGGTTTCCTCTTAAGGAAAGGAGTATTTTTATAAATACTTAAGCACTGTCAATTTTGAATTTCTGTGAGGTAATAAATGAGTAAGCTGCGTAGACAGCCCTTCCAAATACCTTTATATGCATAATGTTTGCCAGAGTGTAGGTGCCATTAATATTAACCCGTTTGTAAGTAAAATTATGGATTATTTCAATTAATGATCCTTAATTAAAATGTTTCTCTTTCTCTAGGAGCTAAACTCATAATTAAAACAACTTAAACTAATCACATAAGAAAAAGCACACTCTCATATAGAACATTCTAGTCTTGTTAATGAAAGTATAATTTCTGAAAGCTCACTAATTGGAAATATAGTTGGGGATATAAAAACAAATTAGAAAATGAAGTACCTGAGGTCACATCTTAGACGTATCATGTTAGAATTTCTGTGGTGATTAGATTTATGAGGTGTTCATAGTTTCAGAAATTATACAGTATTAAGCCCTGAAAGTCACCTCTACTGTCTTTGATGTTTTTACAGGAATTGCTTATCTGTTTGCCAAAGCTTATCTCATTTCCAAGAAACCACAGTACCTGGACACATGTATCCGGTGTGGGGAACTCACATGGCAGAAAGGCCTGCTGAAGAAGGGGCCTGGGATTTGTCATGGTGTAGCCGGCAGTGCCTATGTGTTCCTTCTGCTGTACCGCCTTACAGGAAACTCGAAATACATCTACCGTGCCCAAAGGTCAGATATTGTTCTCATATATATACATATATATGGACATATATATGTTAACATTTATTATAAATACATTCTATTATAAATATTATAATATTATATATCATTACAAGTACACATATATATATATATTTGTAAATCTGTTATCTGCTTTTTTGAGACAAGATCTCACATATCCTTAGGCTGGCTTTGCATTCACTTTATAATGAAGGATGACCTTGAACTTCTGATCCTTCTACCTCCCAAGTGCTAGAATCACAGGTGTTCCCCATCGCACCATGCTATGTGGTGTTAGAGACTGAGCCCAGGGCTTCTTGCTTTCTAGGCAAGTTCTCTACGAACCAAGCTACATCCTCAGCCCTATTTTTAAAAACCTTAATCTAATTAATTTTCTAAATAGGTAATACGGTCATCTGGTTTAAAATTGACTTGAAGACACTGTTACCAGTTTCTTGTTTCCCTTCCCAAGTATACTTTCTGTACCTACAAGCAAGCGGGAATATGGAGCAAATTTTGCCCTTTTTTGTACAAATGATACCGCCTTGTTATCTTGCTGATCATGTTAAATCAATACATAAAGGACCTCTTCTATCACTTTTCTTAAACATTCTTACTAAAATAAAAGAATATTTTGCTCCAATGACTTCAAATACTTCTCATTACAAACAATGCTACAATAAATAACTTTTGCATATATATGGATATATCTAAAAGATAAATTTGTACAAATGGAATTGACAGATAATGCTACATCGGTCTTTAATAAAGATAAAAAAGGTATATACAGACATTATTGTTTTTAAAAGTAATGATTCCTTTCTGATAAACTCGATACATTGTGCCAGAAAGACTGTGAATGGACTGAAAATCACCTGGCAGAAAGCTGAGTAGCATGAAGCCAGTATTCGCTTTGAAGGGATTTGGGTCTTGGTTTTTTGTGTAACAGTTAAGTCCTCTAAGCCAGGGGTTTTCTCATGTCCACCCATGTAACTGGATTCACTTGCATCTGAATTGTCCCTTGGTAGTGGACAAAGAATAGTCCCTCTACACTTGTGAGCATTCCCACTTCAAGGAGTATACCTGGGGATCATCATATTGCTTGTGTGACTTTAACTCTTCACATAACTTGTTCTGTGTCTCAGCTTCCTCAGCTATAACATCTGGGAGATAATACCCACTTCTCAGGGGTATTGGCTGCTTTAAATAAGTTAACATGTAAAAATAATTTTAAGTAATGCCCAGTGAATAGTCATTTCAATGTAAGTGTTCACTGTTATTACTTTAAATTTTAGCTTTAGTATTCCAAAGTTTCATCTGTTTGTAACTATATATTCATATCTATATCTAAATGTGTATATTTACATACTTTTGGGGGGTATTGAGCCCAGGACTTTACACATGCTAAGTACACACACTCTACCATTGAACTACATTTCAGCTCTGTATATTTTAATAGGCTCCTGTTATTATACATGTATAAAGGCACTATGTAGATTGTTTTCACTTACAATTTTAGATAAGTAGTATTTAAAGAATGTCCTTCATTTCAGTTTTCATAGATTTAGTTCATTTCTTTATCCAGCTATATAATTATTCCATAAATATGGAATATAATTAATTCAACCAATCTCTAAATAATAGATAACTTGGTATGTATTCGATCTTTACTAATATAAACAAAATTGTTCCAAATATCCAATATGTAGATTTCTATGAAATGGAGGAAGCATTTGTGTAGGAAACAGTTTAGAATTACCATGCATTACTTTTTTTCTCTCTTGGTACTGGAAGCGGAGCACAGCCTCGTGCACACTAGGCAAACACTTTACTGTTCAATACTGTACTTCAGCCCTAAAAATTTAGATTACTTTTGGTGGTCATCGTACTGAGAAAAGTTTCTCAGTTGTTGAAATAGTTGATGTAGAAATACATTAGTACAGTTTTGTGACATTTGTAATTTCCCATATGTGTGATTGTATTCCCAGTGCTTTTCTTTCTTGGAAAGTCATATTAGTATTTTTATTTTTTTCTTGTTTTGTTTGTCCTTTCAGGGAACTGGGTTTTAATCAATGAGTACTATTTATTGAATTTTTCTGCATTTCATGCATCTTTTTAAAATTATTTTTGATTTATCTATTTTTATTTTATGTGTATTGAGTGTCTTGCTTGCATGTATGTAAGTGCCCCTGTATCATGCAAAACCTATGGTGGTCAGAAGAGGGCGTCAGATTTCCTGCAACTGGAGTTACAGTTGTTAGCTGCCTTGTTGGTGCTGGGAATTGAACCCCGGCCCTCTGGAAGAGCAGCCAGTGATCTTAATCGTTGAGCCATCTCTCCAGAGCCCCATTTCATACATCTTAATCATATTTAAGACCCCCTCTCCCATCTGCCCCCTTCCCCCATAGTTCACCCACAGGATTTCATGCACTCTGTCATCTCTGTTAAGGCCTAATGAGTCAAGTTTGTCTAGTCAGATGTCCCTCAGTATTATTTCATCCACTAGAACCTGGTCAGCCTATCCCTTAAAGCATCACCTCCTTAAAGAATATCAACTCTTCCTCACCTAACAGTAATCAGCTGCCAAAAGTTTCTGATCTAAGGTTGGGGCCTCCTGCCCATTTCCCCAGTTTTATGCTGGTATTTGTCTGAGTTTCCATGGGTCTTGGACATGCTGTCACCATTGTTCCAAATTCATATGAGCAAAAGAACTAGTTTTTTTTAATTTTGTTTATTCTTTTTATCTATTTTTGTCTTTTGTGTCCCACTTCACTATCTTCTGCCTTGGTGATTCACTATTCCTTTTCTTTTCTAATATTTTATTATGTTGTTAGCATATAAAGTAATGGGTTTCATTATGACATATTCATATATATGTGCCATTATACTTTTGTAAAATTCATTCTCATCCCCCCATAGCCCTTCCCTGTGCCCCCTCTGCATCACTGTCTGGTTCCTTTCCCCAAGATAGTCCCAGTTCTTCCTTCTGTTTTCTTCTATTTTTTTTTTTTTTTTGGTATTTTTTAGAGCTTGAAAATGTGGAACTGTGGAACTGGTGAGATGGCTCAGAGGCTAAGACCATTTGCTGCTGTTTCAGGGGATCTGGGTTTGGTTTCTAGCACCTACGTGGTGGCTAAAAACCCACTATAACTCCAATTCCAAGACATCTGATGTCCTCTTCTGTCTTCCATGCACATTGAATACATATAGTGCAGTTACACACATGTAGCCAAAACACTCATACACATGAAAAATAAAATTAAGAGTCAGGCATGACGGCAAACACCTTTAATCCCAGCACTCAGAAGGCAGAGGCAGGAAGATCTCTGTGAGAGTAAAGCCAGCCTCGTTTCTATATTGCGTTCCAAGCCAGCTGGGGCTCCAGACAGACCCTGTCTCTAAATTAATGACATAAATAAGTAAACAAACAAACAAAATAATTTTTAAAAATGTGTAGATAGCCTCCTATTATCAATTCATAATAATTCATGAATTGTGAATTTTCTTCTTAGTTCAGTTTTTAACCTAAGCGTTAAGTTTTGGTATATAATGCTCCCAACGTCATTCATTCGTTTTAGTTTTAATAATTACCGTTCAGGCTTCTATTTTGACTAAAAATTGTTTAGGAAAAACCAGTTGGTTAGTTTGATTTGGGGGACATTGGATTTTTGAGACAATCATTTTCACTTTAATATTGACAACATTTTCAGAAATGATAGCACACGATATAGGTAAGAATACAAGGAAATTGCTGCTCCCATATGTTGCTGTGCATTGTTTATAAATTGTGTTTAAAAGCACAGAAAGTGTTCATTATATCATTCATTTTTAAGCAGAAAACCAAGGCATACACACTGTAATAATATGTAGTAAAATAAACCATTGCTTATGGCAAAAAGTCATCAAAGTGAATAAAATTAACTGTAGATTTCTTTTAAAGTGAAGTGGAATGTTTTTCTCTATTTTACAAATATTCTGCCAAAATACATTTACACATTAAGTGGAAATATATTTTTCATTCATCTAATGCTTACTCTATGCTCAGATCCTAATATATATGTGTATATGTGTGCGTATATGTATTAAATCTTTTTTTTAATAATTCTATGTGCTTCTGCAACCTTAGCATTTAAAGGTTGATTTAAGAAAATTTCCAAGGTTATATAATACAAAAATCACATTTGAATATCTGAACTACAAAGCTCTTTCTCTTTTGAGCTATACATGAGGTTTTAGTCTGGAGTTTGTAAGCATGTGTAAGATTACATATCAAAGTGAAATGTTGCATTTCTTTAAATTCTTAATGTGCATAAAAATTCACAGAAGTTTAACAGCAGCGGCAGCTCTACAACCAATCAGTATAATATTCTCATATTAAACTACTTTTGTAGAGAATATAGCAGAATATACTTTCCACCCCTCATTATTTAGAGATGTCAGTACTTATTAAACCATGAATAGATATTGCTACGTAAAGTGCTGATGAAGAATACATTTTACTATGCCACAAGTTTGGTTTTAGTTCTTTTAATTGGATCACCATTTGTAGCTCAGTGTTAAAGCATGCACAAGGTCCTGGGTCTACTCCACAGTATTTAAGAATAAGAAAAGCGAAAAGTATACTAACTGTGCTTTATTATAATTGATTTATTTTGTAATTCCCTGTATTGCATTTTCTATATTTGAAAATGGTTTTGAGGTATACAGAATGCCAAATGATTCATAGCACTAAGAAGATGAAAACCCACTCATAAATGCCATAATTCTGACTTATGACATCATTACACAGATTGAATTAATTCTTAAGATGCCTTATTGTGCTACTGTTTCAAAATGTAAAATCCCATTTAAAATGGCTGCATATTGGAGGAAATAGTTGATAGAAAATTTGTACCATATACAGCTGTAATCTATTTCCTGCTCATTTATTTTAAGCTTCCTCCAGTAATTCCAAGAGCCCTAACAAACATAAAGCAAGTAATTACCCTTTCCAGGACCCCCTGCGTAGCAGCAGTAACCTAAATTTATGACAGTATCAACTCTCAGGCCTCACCACCCTCTGAATTGGTTGCTTCTTATGCTGGGGACAAGGGACACCTCTGTTATTTGAAGATTCTGGTCTTGGAAGGACTGACTCTCTTGAATGGACCTCCCACTTCCCCTGAGGGCCAGCTGTGGTCCTCACTCCACATGTGGTCCTGGGTATCCAGGCCTTGATGTTGGACCTCTCCCATTCCCAAACACCAAAATGTTTTCCATTATTTTTCTATTACTCTTCTACAGCCTCGGTATGCCTTCACTTATGCCCTAATTGAACTTCTAGAGATAAAAGTCACAGTCTCGGATGTTAAAA